AATGACTGGATGATGAATTATTGTTCTCTGGGGGACATTTCGGCAATCCATATAATTTTGTGTCAAGTGTGATCAACAACTGGCAGGTCACGCCTGAAAACCTTCCTATTCAACCGTGCCTATGGTCACCCCCACCCCACCTGGCTCAGCGTCGTACTGGGTCACTGACACGTACAGGGACCCTACCCTGCATGAGGAGTGCTATATAAATGCAAGTTGTTGTAATTTTTATCCAGGCCGTTCTTTGGTGGAAGTGTCCACAAATTGAAACACAGAGGCTTCACTGGAGAAAATATATATTTTTTCTAGCTTTTTTTTGTATGACATCAATAACAGTTTAAAGGGTTTTCGGTAGGACTGTGACAAATGTCGGCCTGGCTCAGTTGGCAGCACTCTCGCCTCCAAGTCAAGCTCCTCATTGGGACTTTGAACTCATAGCCTAGGCTGACATTTCAGTGCTGGGTGAGTCACTGGATCATCAGAAGTGTCATCTTTTGGATGAGACATTAAACCAAGGTCCCATCTGCCTGCTCAGATTAAAGATTCAATGGCACTATTTGAAAATGGAAGGAAGTTCCTCCTGACGTCCTGACGTTAAAGGTTGTATTAACATAAATGTATCAGAGTGTGAAATGTCAGTGGTGTACAAACTAATTACAACAGAGCTTTCCAATGCATAGCACTTTGAATTTTATATTTTCTGAACACAACAATTTTGTTCTGCGTGCATGGTTGCTGGCACCAATCCCCCAGATTGGTCATTCACTGCATGGCTGTTTGTGGGTCATTGCTGTGCACAAATTGGCTGCCACTTTTGCCTATGAATACACAGTCGCTGCACTTAAGTAAATCTTGTGAAGAGTTTATTCGACATGATAAGGTGTTACATCAAATGCAGGGATTGTTGTTATTGTTAACTATATGGGTAAGTGAGTACATTTACTATTGATACAGTATTACTACTTTCATGTACTCAAGCTGTGAGTCATATTTCCTTCGGACCATCTGGCCTTCACTAATAATCCATGTGGGCAATGCATATCCTCCATTAAATATATAATATTTAATCCTTCATGACTATTTAAGTTGGAAGTTTATTCCAGAATGTCAGAGAAAGGCTTTGTCAGTATATTTCTTTATTAGTGCAGTAAAAAGGCATTTTTCCCAGTTATTTTAGACAGTTTCGGTATTTACAGGAAAACAATTATCATGTTTTTAACAATTGTATGATTCTGAGAGTCACAAATTCCCAGGAAAATCACATGAGATATTTGGATGAAGATGATGCTGCACCTCATTTGATCTCATCTTTGCAGAATACTCACTTCCCATGACAAGATCAAACTGTTAGTTAATCCAACATGCCAGTCTTTACCACCCATCTTAGTAAGCGGGCCAGCTGTTCGTTATCCTCTGCATAATGCATTACTTTTCAGTGGCTGACATAAGATTATCCATCTTAACCCTGAACCTGCGATCTAGTGTTATGTTGGCTTGTCGTATCTGAAATAAACCGGCCAAAAAATTCTGATCACTCTCTCAAGGGGTCCATATAATTGTAGAAGTTGGGCAGCGATTGAGACAATGATTTCCAGCGATTGATATCTTGGAATGTATGGCCTGATACTACTTGGCAGCATTCATGATAAATTCCAGTCTTCCGATTGTGCATGCAAATCTAAGATGAGCAACAAAATAATTCAGACAAAGCAAAATCCAGTTGTCTGATTTTGAATTTCAGCTGTAGGATCTGTAGTTAGATTCATAGATTTATAGAATGTTACGGCACAGAAGGAGGCCATTCGGCCCATCAAGTCTGCGCCAGCTCTTTGACAGAGCAAATCACTTTCACTAACCCCAATCACCAGCTTTCTCCCCATAACCCTGCAAACCCGTCTTCCCCAGATACCTATCCAGTTCTCTCTTAAAAGCTGTTATCGAATCAGACTTCACTACCCTTTCAGGCAGATCATTCCAAATTCGAACAACTCGCTGAGTGAAAAAATTTCTTCTAACCTCCCCTCTGCTTCTTTTGGTAGATATCTTAAGACTGTGACCACGGGTCACAGATATACCTACCAGCGGAAACAGCTTTTCCCTATCTAGCCTGTCGAAACCTTTCATGATCTTCAAGACCTCTATCAGATCCCCGCGTAACCTTCTCTGCTCTAATGGGAAAAGTCCTAACCTCTCCAGCCTGTCCTCATAGCTAAGGTTCCCCATTCCTGGTATCATTCTCGTGAATCTCCTCTGCACCCTTTCCAGTGCCTTAATGTTCTTCCTGAAGTAAGGTGCCCAGAACTGGACACAGTACTCCAGCTGAGGCCTAACCAGTGTTTTGTATAGATTAACCACAACCTCCCTACTCTTATACTCTATGCCCCTACTAATAAAGCTCAGTACACCAAATGCCTTTTTTACTGCCTTATCTACCTGCCCCGCAATCTTTAATGATTCGCTTACTTGAACACCCAGATCTCTCTGTACGTTCACCCCCCCTTAAGATTGAGCTACCAAGTCTATAATGCCTCCTATCATTTTTCCGACCTAAGTGTATCCCCTCACACTTATCCACATTGAAATCCATCTGCCACATGTCAGCCCATTCCACCATTCTGTGTATGTCTGCTTGCAGTTGGTTACAGTCCTCCTCACTATTTACTACCCTACCTAACTTTGTATCATCTGCAAACTTGGAAATAGTGCTCTCTATGCCCAAGTCCAGATCATTAATATATATTAGAAAGAGCAGTGGTCCCAATACTGATCCCTGGGGGACACTGCTGCACACCTCCTTCCATTTCGAGAAACACCCATTAACCACCTCCCTCTGCTTTCTGTCACTCAGCCAGTTCTTAATCCAAACTGCCACTGTCCCCTTAATAACGTGGGCCTCTAATTTTTTTATTAATCTCTTATGCGGTACTGTGTCAAAAGCCTTTTTGAAATCCATGTACATAACGTCCACCACATTTCTCTCATCAACCCTCGCAGTCACCTCTTCGAAAAATCCATGTTGGCTGTCTCTAATTACCTCATGTTCCTCTAAGTAGAGATTTATTCTGTTCCGGATTATGGTCTCCAGTAGTTTTCCTACTACCGAAGTTAAACTGACTGGCCTGTAATTTCCGGGTTTGTCTTTCTGCCCCTTTTTGGAGAGGGGGGTAACATTAGCCACTCTCCAGTCTCTTGGCACCACTCCTGTGTCCAATGAAGATTGAAATATAATGGCCAAAGCCTCCGCTATTTGAACCCGTATCTCCCACAGCAACCTTGGGTGAAACCCATCTGTCCTGGTGACTTATCAATTTTAAGCCCAGCCAATCTTTTCAGAACTTCCTCTCTGTCTATAGTAATCTGATCTATTTCATCTACCCTCTCATCCAATACTGCGGCATTTGGGGCATCCATTTCCGTTGTGAAGACAGATGCAAAGTACTCGTTCAGTACATCAGCTATACCCTCTGCCTCCACAACAAGATTGCCGTCATTGTCTTTGATTGGCCCCACCCTACCTTTAACTAATCTTTTTTCCTTTATGTGCTTGTAAAATATTTTAGGATTCCCCTTTATGTTATCCGCTAACCTCTTCTCATGCGATCTTTTAGCCTGTCTTATCACTAGTTACCATGTTAATGTATTAGACAACACACAGTTAAAAGGCAAGTGATGTGTTCACCGTGAAGAATGAAAGTTTTTTTTTAACCTTATTAATCCTGATAGTTTTTATTCTTCTCTTGCCCAAATATAGCGCTGTTCAATTAGAACGCATCCTGTTTGAGCACAGATTTGCTTAGACAGATTTGTCAAGTGTGGAAGCATGCAACACTCAGCTGACAAAGGCTGGATGTCACTTCTCATGAACATGATGTGATTTTTTGGATAGCTCTTTTCAAAGAGCTGGCACACACACGACAGGCTGAATGGCCTCCTTCTGTGCTGTATAATTCTATGATTCATGAAGCAAGTGAAGTCATGCTAGCACGGGACATAGAAAGTGACATCGCCACTGCCTGGTGACCATTTTCTTCCAACGTGTTACAACACAATGTCTCTATTTTTGGATCTGAGCCATTGCATTTTTGCTAGGCTGCCCTGTAGCTGTTTGCTATTACTGAATGCTCAATATTCTAGCTGTTGCAGCAAAGAGTGGGGATTCATTCTCATTGGACTCTTAATGGAGAAGAGTGAGGTTCATTCATACACGTGCATTCATTAGGCAAAAAAGATAATTACTACAGACAGTAATAAATCAAAATGCCCACTCATCATGTTGACACTTTTTTTTAATTATGATATTTTACCATAATGATAGGAAGAATTGAGAAAGTTCAGGCGTTGGTCGTGAAGGAATTGCGATATATCAGTAAAGTGGAAAACCTTATTGCCACTGATTGTTGAATAGACGATAAAAGATTAAGAAGTTTATTATTCAACATAATTGTTGAAAATTAGTTAACCCAAATTGTACTATGTTTTAGTATTGAACTTTCCAATGTATAGTATTCCCTCATGTCAGCCAAGATTGTGAGTTCAAAGTCCCAACATGAGGCTTGAACCGACAACCGCGATTAAAAGGCAAGAGTGCTACCAACTGAGTCAAGCTACCACCATGACCAGAATCTGACACCACAAACACCCAATTTTTGGCTGGTCAATTTTCTCACCTCCACTTCTCAAAACTGGTGATCATTCCTGGGGTATATTGTTGCAAGCTTCAACTACCCAGGTGGAAAATGTCCATTTTGGGACTTTTATGAAGAGCAGGAGTGAACATAGAGAGGACAAGGGTTTCTCCAAATCCTCTAAATTTCTCCCATCCACTTGAGCCATTGATTGTAGCCCTTCAGGAGCTGATTGAATAGATAATGATATCACTGTCCATTTTGTGGTTTGTGATTGAAAGGTGTGAAGAGCATTATGTAAAATAACCACAGTAGAAAGCGTGTCCCTCCTCGTGTGCACTAAGATAAATATTTGATTGTCTCCCTGTTTTACAGACTGAAGAAAAAGTCCCAGTCGGTGGACATAACCTCCCAAGGATTTGGCAATCCATTGGCAGCCAATGATGCATCATCACAAACCAGCAAGTCCTCTACTGTTGCCAAGACAACTACATTAGAGGAGGTGCAGAACAATGCTGCCAATACGCAGAGACGCAACACCAGGCGGAGTGAACTCAAGAGATATTATACAATAGGTATGTGGAGTGCTTCATACCCAATTGATGCTGAAGCATCACACAACCATATAATCTTGAAAATCAGTTGCTGTCAATTCAGATTATCTTTGTTTCATATTAATGTGGTTTGGGAACCATTGAGATAGTATTCATATTTCAAGAATTGTGATGTTCAGAAATTAGTTTGTTTGCAGATTATATTATGAAATTATGGGGTAAGTGAAATAGGACGTTAGCATGGAGCTGGTTGGTTGTTTTACTCACTTTGTAGCACATGAGGTTTCCTGAAACATAAGCAGTGAGATATGTTATCTTTGCTTTGTCTCTCAATTGGTTAAAAATGATTATTGATATTAATGTTAACTAATTTATAATTTATAGTGAATATTCTAGAATTATGAGGCGGTCTAACGGGTAAATAGGGAAAAGCTATTTCACTTGTAGCGAAGTCAGTGACTAGGGTTTCAGGGTTGATAGCAAAAGGAGATCTTAGGCAAAATTATTTCACTCAAGAGAGTTGTTGGGATGTGGAATGCCCTGCCATGTAAGATGGTAGAGATGGTCTGTTTTGGGTTTCAAGAGGAAAGTAGACAGATATATGAAGGATAGAGGCTTGAAAGAGTGTGTAGATATGCATTGGGAAGTGGGATTGAAAGAGAACCTTGCTCTGAGAGCTGGTGCAGAATTGATGGGCCAAATGGCCTTCTTTGAGGTAAGTTTCTATGAATTACTATTATTATTAGCAACTGCTATATATCAAGCACATTACATTATTAGAGCATTGTTCTGTTTGTGGCACAATATATACAATAGTTGATCTGTTTATATGAATTCCAGTTTATATATGCTTCACTCTGCTCAATCACTGATGTTATTTCAGAGCTCTGCAAAGTCAGGGACCATTCCTGCCTCCCACCACAATTTTTATGTATAATTACAAAATGTGCTGTGCAATGTAGAAAATAGACCTGATACCATATTCTACTGGGGGACGAAAGTTCTTTCAAATGATTTGGAGATTTCCCAGATAAATTATGGAGGGATTCCTCCACTAGGCTGCTACTTAATCATCACATTCCTAATAGTGATTCAAGTGCCTGCAAAACTAGTATTGTGTGAAAATCTACTTTGTATTATTTCCAGTGATTTACTGTGATTTACTTCTCTCCACAGCCATGTGTTGATGGTAGTTGTGTTGATCTAGTATTAACATGACATAGATCAAGGTGCTTAAGTTGTGCCATAGCTGAGCAATTTGTGGTGCTAGGTAGTGCTGGACACCAGCTTGATTGTTGCCTCAAAATATTGTGATTCTGATGAAGGATTGTTATAGACCAAAAGCTTTACAGAAACTTTTCTCAAATTGTAATGGGCACAGAATTTGTATAAGCCGATAAACACAAACACTACGAATCAGGAAAATTAAAAATAAACTTAAAAGGAAATCTCCAAAAGTATTCCCAAAAGTTTGTAGTTCAATAAAGACAGCTTTGGATTGCACATTTTGACAATGTAATTTCAAATATCATATTTTCCAAGCCGATATTACCAAACCCTATCCTTCTGGGGAGTGCTGCCTCTTGGAATCAAAGCTAAACAATCAACTGAAGACTGAGAGGAGAAACACTTTGTGTATCTATAAATTCTCCTTTGAACTCAAACCTGGGTACAGAGAACTTCAAAGATGTATTGCATTTAATCAGTGATTGTGATCCACAAGCCTCACCTTCTCTGAACAAAAAGATATGAAGTAAAATATCTTCACTTCCATTGATAGATGAGAACAGTTTTCCTGTCAGAAATCTTGAGGTGAAACTCGTTTTGCACCTAAGTGTAGCCACTTGGATTATGCAATATGATAATGGGATTTTCCTTTTATAAGTGCACATGCTTTAAAGTTGCTACTTAGTGACATAAAGAATTTCATCCCCATTGTCCCTTCCATATATTTAGATCACTATGAAATTCAGAATATGCAACTGGTACTCATTGGGGTCTATATTTAATAGTTGGTTTGACAGCCCATATATAAAACATGGGAATTGGGTTATCCTTGTACAAATTACAAACCAAAGCCAGTAATAATGTGATTGTGATGGTAGGGTGGGTATTTTGGAAGGTTGAGATCAAATGAACATTTGCCATCCAAAAACAATCTTGAGATCAATCTAAAATATTATAGAATTGCCTTGGACCCTGAGTCCTGTGCCTGAATGTTGAGCAACCATTGACACAAATGGCAGAGTCGAGAAACAGTAATTTTATATTCAGTTCAACACGTTTCCAAGAAATGAATTGAATTTAATTGCAGTTTTTTTCAAAGTAGTACCTTATATGATTGAGTGATAATATTTTTTCCAGCACAACTGATAAGTTATAAGAATCTAAATTCCATGCATTGTCTGTCAACAAAATAATTTGAAAGGGACATAATTTAGTGCAAAATCTAAAACTTATTTTGGTAAATACACACCAGAGGCAGGTTGGCAAGGGCCAAGGCTTGGGAACTGCAGAGTGTGCAATGGGCTATTGTAATTTGACCAGCTAAAACTCCCTTTAACTTGCCACTAAGAGCACTGTCTGGCAAGCTTCCCATACCGTTTCTGTCAGTATCATCCTGCCCATTAGGCTTTCAGGTCTACCAGGAGCTGAGTGGGAAGAAACCTTATAACCCTCTAAGTCTGCCCCTCCAAAGCATACTGATGAGCCAAACTGGCTGATCTAAGCATTGATTTGAATTATTGCAGAAATGTCTGACTCAGGAACCAATACGCCACTAAGGATTGTCATAATTCCAACATTCCTTTGCCAAGCATGTTATGTTTGAGCCAGTTCAGCTCCAAGGAGACCCCACTTACCTCCCCCTACCCCAAAGAAGGATACATTATACTTATGGATGTGGTGGCCTCTTTGTTGGTGGCAATAGGAGGAATAATTGGTGCTCAGGTGCAGGACAACACTTTCCTTAAATGTTTGGAGTCAGTTGGGTGTTACTGACTACATTGTGGTCATAGTGCTCATGCCCTGTTAAGTGCTGGACTTGGGGTACACTTTTGAATGTCCTCCAGCATCTCTTGGGTGGACCAACATGTTGATGTCTGCTTTCTTCATGAAGTTTGCTGATATTCTAGCCCTCAGCTCAGCTGCCAGGCCCCTTGTGATTGCACGTCTAACCTTGTATTTGGCAGGGGTTCAAAGAAGCAACACTCACAAAATATACAGTCAATTCACTTTACAGTATACAACAACAACAAAATTACATTTATGGAGCGCCTTTCACGTTGGGAGGACGTCCCAAAGCCCTGAACAGTCAGGTGTCTGGGCCCGAGCATGGGGGAGGTGTGGAGTAGGGGTGAGGGAAGGCAGAGAGGTGGGAGGGAGACCAAAGACACAGTCGAAGAGAAGGGTCTTGAGACCAACCTTGAAGGAAGCAAGGGAGGAAGTGAGGCGAAGGGACCATGGGATGGAGTTCCAGAGTGTGGGGACAGAGGGGCTGAAAGCCCGGCCACCGATGGTAGGGCGGGAGACATGGAGCAGGCCGGAGCCCGATGAACGGAGGGAGCGGGCAGGTTGGTAGGGATATTCTGTGAAGCACTTTGAAAATTCTCAACGATGTGATCAGGAGCTATATCAAATGCAATATTAGTATCAAACAACTTCTCCTCCTGCTCCTAAAGTGCAAGCTGCAAGCTGAAGCTGACTAGGAGGATAAACCGCTTCAACTAACCATCTGCTCATGGTTACTGTCTCTTTGACTTGATTTACAACTTCACAGTTTACAGATTTCAGGCTTGTCTGTACTTTTCACTGATTCAATTTTCCAAAACCATACATTTAAAGAACATTATTGTAGTCGGAAATTTAAAAAGATCAATTGACCCCAGGGCCTGAATGTAAGTTTTTCAAACCATATTGAATTGTTCAGGGATATCATGTATGACATGGCTAGCTGGTTTGTTCTTGTACTGCGATACACAGGGTGAAGAAGACATAGACAGGGAGCATGGTTTCAATAGTCAAAGGAGTGTGGCCAGATTCCAGTAATTTGCGAGTTCTTGGTCAGGTTGAATTACCATGCTCCAACCTTTGGTAATTTCTCCGGTGACTGGAGCTCATTAATCTTATTAACTAGGCAGACAGAGGGACCCTGACTACCAGGCTGTGATTTGCTAACCAGTTCCCGCTTGCTGAATGTTTTTAAGAAAGGTTCCCACCTCTTCCAGAACATCTGAATGATAATGAACCGGCATGAAAATAAATTGTAAATGAACATTAACTGTTTCAAAGTTTGGGTCCTGGAACATTGAGTTTATTTTCTGTTTTATTTAAACGGGCATTGAGAGTTGTTTATTTAGCATAGGTAATTTTATTTAGTTTATATAGGTTAGTCCTTCTTGGATCTCTCTTACACTTCTGAATAGAATACATGAAAAATTCTCTCTCTACCTCTGTTTATGTACCATTATGGTTATTGAACCACTTCTCCCTATGAATCTTTAATGGCCATGGGAAATTAGTGATCTTTGTGTTGTAATTAAAATTTATCATCTGCCTCCTCTCACCATTCTTGTAGAACTGGTTGTAGAACTGCTTGCCTCTCAGTCTTCCCTTCCTTCTATAGTCTGCCAAATATCAAACCAAACTTTACCTAACCACTTGTTGACTTGCTACTTTTCTCTGCTCATCTTTTCAGCTTTGATGCTGCACTGGATTGTGGGACTCAGCACTTCATTTAGATTCTCAAGAAAACAGGTTGCAATGAAATGGAAGCTCCAATATACTGTCCGTCATTGAGGAGTGAGGCTATTTTTCTGCTAGACCCTATGTAGTTGCTTGTCAATATTAGACATACTTCTGTCAGGATGCACTGCACAGAAGGGAGAGAATTTGGGTAAATTAGAGTGAGTCAACCAAGCCTGCCTGTGTGCACTCACTTGTCTGGTAACCCAGTAAGAAGATGCAGGGCAAATCTGCCAATACCCTTGTGGTGCAAGGAGAGTAAAATAGAGAAGAGGAGA